ACAGGACAACTTCAAAAGGCTGACCTCCAATAACATAACATCTCTGAAATACAGCCTAATATGACCCAACCCAACACAAACAAAACAATAAATAGAGAACATTTTGGAAATAGAGAACATTTTGGAAACTAGATCAGGTCCAGACTGTAGCATAAGGGAATCTAATTACAAAGTTTTACCTATTCCAGGCAGATTTATGCTTTTGATCTTCTATACTCATCTCTCTATACCCATTAATGACCGCTTTCCTCCCATCCCTCAATTTTAGAGAGGGGGGTTTCTCTGGAGGCTATTCCTATGTCGTTCCACAAATGCATCTTGGGGTCCCACTGTCATTCATCACCTTCTGCACACCAGAGTTTCCCAATTTAGGCTGGTACTCATCCCTCCTTCGACTTTGGATTATGAGGATTCCAGTCTTTCTGTGACTGGTGATGGTGTGCTTCTTCCATGTGGACTTAGTTGACATCTCACTGAGATGGCTGCTTGTTTGGAGACAAGCCTTTAAGACTCTAGATGCTATTTTATCTGAGAGCCGGGCACAATCTAAACGCTTTGCCACATTTTGCTTTAGCAGAATATCTTCTGTGTTCCCTTCCTGAGGATGAGCATCAAGCAGGGCCATGTGTAAGGGAAAAGTATGTTTGGAGACTCATTGTGGAAGCAATCATACATTTCGGTTTGACATGATTGAACTGCAGAATGATATGATATATGTATTATCTCCCAAGCAACAACAAAGTAAAAGGTAAAAAAACAACACAGATCCAGAAATGGGTTTTGGACTCACACTAAATACGAGCACTTTCTTTTAAACTAAGCACCTATGTTAGAAGCAGGACATAGAAAGGTAGTAAAGTGAGGAAATAATTCATATATTAAAGGTAAGTATGGTACATGCTCCTTACACAAAAGCATCTTATATTTACATTTCACTAAATAACCATGTACTTCGGTCACTAAGTACCATGGACTGCCAAAAGAGCAACAACAACAATAACAACAAATCTGTCTAGGAAGAGGACGTGCTCTTTAGAGACTCCTTAGCCAGAATGCTCCTCAGACGCAATGATGGTGAGACTTCATCTCACATCCTTTGTACATCTGTATTGTCAGGAAAGACTAGTCCCTGGTGAGAAGGGACTAGTAGAAATGCAGAGGGGCAGCTGAACAAAGGAGGAACCTGGACCAGATGGATTAACACCGTGGTTGCAGAGATGGGCTAAAGAGAAGAACAGTTATAAGGATTGTACAGGTCGGGCCAGTAATGTTTCGTTCTGTTGTTCACGGGGTCCACACCAATCCGAACCGACTCGACCGTGCCTAGCAACAACACATTCTATTGACTACCGTGGGGAGGCCTGTGGCAAAGGCGTTAGTGAGGTCGCGTAATCTTATTCTGCTAAAAACCATATCCTCCC